AAACTAAAAGAAATATTAAAAAAGAACTAAACACTAATTACAAAAAATGTTTTAAAGTACATATTTATGAGAAGTCAAGATAAATCGTAGTACTACGACTCCCGCCTTTAATGTGTTAATAACTAAATGTCGGCTTTTACATAATTTATTATTTAATACTAAAGTATGACACGTGTGGCTCTGATTTGAATCTGGTACGGGCGTTGTTTAACACATTTTGATAGTTTAGTAACAACCACAGATTAGTATATGCATAGTCTATTACACTGGAGGACATTTTTTTCGATTCGAAATGTGACAGCGTTCTAAGGCAATTGACAAAGTTGCATAATTTAAATTTGATGAGGCGGAGCGAGCGGAATATCTCCCTTGCCCTTCTACCGAAATGACAGACCTATTTTGAGCAACATACATAAGTACGTAGTTCGCAACAGCTAATGTTTGCAAACACTATCTCGGACGGAGGCAACTGCGGTAGAAGAATTAGACGACACTAAATCCTTTACAAAGATGTACAAACTTTAAAGTCGATTTTCTCGAAAACAGAGCCCTATAACATTAACACGTTGACTGCCACGCGTATTTACAACAAAATCTCCTACAGGCCACCCGTGCCGCTATAGGAAGCGTGCGCTGTTAATTCATATCTGTTTCTGTTCCTGCATGAACAGTTGGAATCTTTGCCGAGTACCGAATGGTATAACTTAAAATCTCTGCCCTTATTTTTTTTCAATAATGAAAAGAGATCGGATTGCCCGGAAGGAGAAGCATAAATAAAATTACATCGTCAGATTCTGATTTGGATACTGATAAATATAATCTCTTAGTGATAATGAATGTTATGAAGATACTATTGACGAGATTTTACGAGAATTGGTCATGGAAGAAGAAAGAAATGTTAATGATACTGAGGAAGCTACAGTTCAAATAAAAGATACGAAATGGACCGATCAGAGGCACGAGCATATCTGAAAAGACAAACAACTTTTTGTCCAAGCTGTCCTGATCAACCTCAACTTTGCAGAGAATGTTTTAATGTTATACACTGCGAATAATTTTTTTAATAAACCATTTTTATAAGAATTCGATAGTTTCATTACCTCCTGTAGAATATTTGTCGAAATATTTTCGGAAATCCTTTGTAAGTAGTCAAATCAGCGTCACCCGAATTACGGGTGACGTGGCCTGATGAGAATTTTTGCTGTCACCCGAATACGGGTGACGCGGCAGTCAACGTGTTAAATTAGTAAAGTACATATAACGAGAAAATGAAACACTACGCATAAACTAAATGACGCAAGGGGAATCGGTCACCCATTCCACCTAGCCTCTCCCAATGTGTTTTGATTCCAGACTTTTGATTATTACTGGCTATGTTACGCGATTAGCTGGGGCGAGCAACCGATTTCCTTTGCTCTTCGTGTCGATTAGCTTGTGGGTCTTCTCGTTTACCACAGAAACGGGTTTCGGGAGATTATAAAAAAGTGGGGACTGCTGGTATGCAGGTTAGACGGTGTGAGCGGAATAGACCCGTTGCCCTTCTGCCGAAACGACAGACCTATTCTGAGCAATGGACAGTTAATGTTCGCAACAGTTAATGTTTGCAAAGACTATCTCGGACGGAGGCAACTGCGGTAGAAGAATTAGACGACACTAAATCCTTTACAAAGATGTACAAACTTTAAAGTCGATTCTCTCGAAAACAGAGTCCTGGATAAAAAACTGTTATACCAGATTTTTTTCTTATTTTTTCACGTAAGATCTACATACGTGCTTGGTTGTACTACAAATTCCGGCATATCCTGTATATTCTACGAGACGTCATGTTTAGTAACAATAAAATTTTATTTTTAATCTGCTTAGTTAATCCCTTGACATACAAATAAAACGGAATTTGATGCGTCCGAAAAATACTATTTAATTTGGCCCAACTGAACAGTTACGTACAAGCTGATAAAAAGAATGTTTTATTTAAAAATTTGGATTACTGATTTGTGGATGCAACTTTGTTATTGATATTGTCGAAAAGGTGGGAGGCATCTCGAGCATTGTAAACAAACCAGAGTCGACGCACGAGTGAAGCAACTGAATAATCTAATAATATACTGCACGGCGTCCGCAAAACAGCTCTTGACGAGCTAGACTCGTCAAAGTCTACAGTGACACATGAAATGAATGACGACCCCAACTCGTCATTGTATGCCAAGAGATTAATCAAAATAATAACTTTTCCAAATCAAGTCGCTGTAATGTGAAACTGCCCTGTTGTGAACAACTCCTTAAAGAATAATAGAAGATAGGGGTTGCCACGGAGGAGTGTTACCAACGGACAATCGAAGAGTCGAGATCGGACCGTCGAACGATCAACATCCCACTTCTGAAAGATCTGAATTGTATTTGTATCGAATTGTGTTATAATTAATATACTTTATTGTAAATAAAATGCCGCGACGCGAGAGAAATGGTGTAATTCGCAACGATATTATAACATCGAATTTGCGCGGTATTTTCGTCATGTCGGTACTCGCAGATGATTGTCTAGCTTGTATTCTTCTTTCTCCAGGCCGTGTATTCAGATAAATCTTAATTGCTCGTCCCATAAAGTCATAAACCGCGTAACACGCGAAGAGGAACGCGCAATCTTCTGTACTGACAGTACTGCCAGCATTGTCAGCGCTGCAATGTATTGTCGGGATTGCCACTACTTCCAGCACTATGTCGTTTCGTAGTGAGTTTGCATCTCTTTGAGTCGAGATCCACTCGTCCTTTCGTCGCCTGTGGGACCTCACTTCCTTGCGATGAAACGAGGTCGCGCGTGAAGCTCCTTTGCAAACAGGACGATCGGTTATGAGACGCGTCGCACTGCCATGCCCTGTTTCTTCTCACGTTGACAACCCACATGACAGTCGACTTGTGACCGTGACACTTTAGTTTCGAAAATAGAAACGTACTGTTCTCACGGGAGTCTGTTTCAGCGGCTGCTCATGCACATTAACGCTAGAACTGACGAGTAGATTAAGATGGCACGTTACCAGTTTTCTCTAAGAACGATGAAACTGAAGATCTGTCATATCTTCCGATGTAGAAAAGTATTAAAGAGAAGGTGCAAAATATTGTATTACACAAAATTTATCAGGCATATACAAAAATTTAATTTTGGCTTAACGATTTTGTTTTTAAAAATTGAGCGATGGAGAAAATCGTTCAAAATGAAAGAAAATATTTCGAAATGAATCAATTTATTATTAATTTATAATACATTGATCGTGTATAAATAAACGGAAATTGGAGAAAAGAATAAAACTGCGGTATAGGCTTAACAATTTCTTACAGATAACCTAAATGCAAAAATCTTTGGATGTCGTATGTGGTTTCTTTTGTATTACATATTTTATCATTCTTTAATTTGTAGCAAATGATAGTCCGAAAATTAATTCAAATAATACAAAGAAAATTATTAATTGAAGGAATGATTCTACGAGAAAATTGAAAAATATTCCTGTATTTTTTAAGAACTGTCACAAAATGTTTATTTTGTATTTCAGGTTCCATTACTTTGTTTTATCATGTATTTGCATGTTTGTTATGTGAATGTAAAAAATGCATTTGTTGATATTTGAATTGATTTTTATATTGTAGTATGTATATAAATAATCAGTGTATTGAACGACTGCCGCAGAATTATTCTTACATTTCCCATAGAAGCCTCAGGTTATAAAATACAATAGAAGGAGGAAAAGTTTTATAATTGAATTTCCTGCTTACGAAGTTAAAAACCCACCTTCTCAATATACAATGCATAAGAAAAAGTAGAAAATGAGGAGGCATTGTCTGCAATGAAATCTCGTTAGCCACAATCGTTAAACATTAAAATCTTCAATGTTGCTGGAAGTACGTGACTTCAGAAGTAGTTGCACAACGGTAACCGATGAAAATGATAACTCTATAGAAACAAGTAACTTGCCATGACAGAGAGATTAGGAATACAGATTGGAAAATTGGACGGACGGTTTCTGCAACTCACTTAACATTCAAGCAACTCGAACATGCGGAGAGAATACGAGTAATCATCAAATAAGATAGACATGTGACTGAGATAGAGATGCTATTTTCGTTATTAGCTATTCAATAGAAACTTTTATTATGTATACAACCGTTGGATGTTCTTTGGTGTATCGCTTTTACGAATTTTTGTATTTAACAATGAATTGATTTGCAATGTTATACAGAAAAGTAAAATAAAGAAGTTGTCTTCTGTAGAAGACAATGTAGTTTCTGTTTTTTGAAATATAGAATTTATTTTCAAATGTAAAGAGTTGTTGGAGAGATAACATATTGGAAGATAACAGACGTTCCACATTTTACCATTTGTGGTTACTTTATTCGGTTACTTTAAACGTACAGTTCCGTTACATAAACTTCAAAATATTATGATTTATTGTTTGGGACGGAATATTTTGAGATACATATGTGTACGTGTATTACATTCCATTTTAATATGTGTCTCGTACACCTGTTTTTGTTTTACGCAGTATACATATTTTTACCGAATTAAGTACCTTGTCCACAGTTAATTATTTTTATATGGTCTTTTAAAAACATTTTATATATTTAATTTCATACCGTTTCTAATATGGTAGAAAGAAAAAGCACAATAAAAAATATATGCATTGGACTGTACCTTAGTTCTTCTTGGCGAAAAACAATTTTCGACACTAGCTGAAAAAATAATTTTCACAAAATTTTAGATCTCTCTCTCTCTCTCTCTCTCTCTCGATCTGACAATGGAAATCCTTGCTTCATAGAATTTGCAATTTTTTTATTTTTAAAACTTCTTATTTTTTGCTATAGTACATTCTAAATATACATGTTTATACATTGTTGAAGTTCTTTTTTCATGCTCTATAACTCTATGGAAAGAGAAATATTTATAATTATATTAGACACAATAATTAAGGTTCAAGAAAAAAAATTTTTCTTGAATTTTTCTCTTCATTACATTTACTGCCAAAGAAAATATATTTTCCAAAGATAAATCCCAGGATCATGATTCTTTTTCCTAACTTTAACCATATATTTTCTCTCTCTACAATCATCATGAAGTGATTGGTAATAAATCTAGAATGAGTATCGTTCTGATAATACGCATTACGTTATGAACAGTGAGTGATGATTATTCTAATAGAATTATTTTTATGGGAACATGTTTAATGCCAGATTTATTTTCCAGGACTATCGAGCTAATCGCTTTGATTGCGATTTCGAGCACACTGTTCCTTTTTCTGCACACACGAGAGCTACACTCTCGTTTACGGAAAATGGAAGTCCGTCTCCAGCCCAGCGAAGATGAGATGCCGTCGGCGAATCAACTCTCGTTCGGTGAGTTTTACGCTTATATCCTCCCACTCAGTATAATTCCCATATTTTCCTATGCAACAAAAGACCTCGCATGTTATTCTGCCAAAGATGTCAAGGCCTGTTCGTGGGAGAGATTTGAAATCAACTTCTCACTACCTTGTTACTGGATAATTTTACACGAATTTATTATGTTCAACAATCATTTCATCACAATTTTGGGGTGAAATATATATTATACATTATATTATACACTAGACATAGGGACTATTATGTGAAAGGTTATATTATTTCAACAATATTACAATATATTATTGTTACATGCTGCGTCACTAATTCTATTCGCGCAATATAATTACTTTTCGCGTAACATAATTATTTTTCTCGTAACTATTACTTTTATTAGCTGATTATAATTACTATTATTTATTATTCGTGTTATTGTTAGTATTACTTCCATATTTACCATTCTCATTACTTTTCGCGTAACATAATTATTTTTCTCGTAACTATTACTTTTATTAGCTGATTATAATTACTATTATTTATTATTCGTGTTATTGTTAGTATTACTTCCATATTTACCATTCTCATCATAACGTCAAGCCATGTCTTTTAACGAAAAATACTGACCAATGAGAGACGAGCTCGCCTAATGATAGGCGGCCAAGCCAATCAGCGCAACTCGGCTTCGACTGCTCGTTGGCTCGGCCGTCTTGCGCCAGCTGAGCTCGCCTCCCATTAGTCAGTTTTTTTTCGTTAATAAGTCGTAAATCATTCAGGAATCACCCCCTTCCGGATGTTAACATAATATAGAACACCCTGTAATATTTATTACTAGACCGCGAATCTTCTTGTAAAATAAAAATTTCCTACATCATTTGCAACAAACAGGAGTTAAATAATATTCTATTTCCTCTTTTAATAGTTCAAAAATAATGTAACGATATTGTTAAATTCTTTTGATATCTTTGTTATTCTTTATTTCACTGATTCACGTTTGCCATAAATACCTAAATTCTATAGTCTACTCATCACTTTTCTGTACATCGAACATATTTCTTTTTTAAACTGTTTCAGAGAAGTGTTGTTTCAAGTTGTAGCTTTCTCTAGTTCATTATTTTTCAAGGTTATACGAGTTCACAAGACTGCACCGAGTTTTAACAATTTAATAGCTTCTACACACAATTATTATAGAGAAAATAGTGAAACTTACCAAAGAATTTGAATGTCTTATGAGTTTACGAATTGCTTGTCGAACGACAACTTTCCTATTCGGGAAACAGACAACCATGGTCCATGACAAATCACGTGATGCATTGCTTCGATAGGAATTCCTCGATATCCAGCGAATTCATCGGTGCGAGATCCCACGAGAGCTGTCGCTAGTCATCCTTGTTGCTCTAACGTAGATACTTGCCACATTGTGAAGTTCGATGCGCATGGTATTTTGCGCACATATCATTCTTACTCCCCGCTGCTGTGTTTATCCGAAACGTGACAAGCTGTTTTAACACGTTGAGCGCGGCGTCAGACCTCTGGGACTGACAATGGACTTTTCGTTCGGGCAGCGTCAGTCCTCTTGATCTGACAGTGGACTTTTCATTTGGGCGACATCAGTTCCCAGCGACTGTCGGCGAACTTTTCGTTTGAACTGCATCGGCGCATGGGAACGGCAGTATCAAGGTTATGTCGGCCTGCCGCCTCAACGGAAAACCCAGCAGAGTCGCCTTCGCGCTTAACGTGTAACGTGTCTCCATGGTGTGATCCGCAAAACCTGGCAATCTTTGGCGAGAAGAAGAACACTGTTTCATGCGTCCTTCTAAGTGATAGTCCTGATGGTTGATAGTCGTGTTTGCAAGTAAGAATTTTATCAGTAGAATTTTATAATCACAGTACGAAGTTATAATTTAAATGATGAATCCAAAGTTTTTATTCTTATACTTTCCTATAGTACAATCAGTACAAAGTTATAATTTGAATATCACGAATTCAACGTTTTTATTCATATACTTTCCTGGCAAAAATAAAAGTCCTTTTATTTGTTGATCGACGTACATGATTACGCGCATTTCTAGATTTTGAAAGTACAGTGCTGGACAAAATAATATGACACTCGACATTATTCGTTTAAATTTGAATGCAGGAAATATCTTAAGTCTTTGCGTTATACAGCAAGAAAGTTTTCGAAAAAAAACATTAAAATGAGAACAAGACTGTGAAAGAAAATTGCTGTTTATTTTGAAGAAACGTAGTATAAAACAGTAAATTAATATGTTGTTACATGTCCTTTTACTTGCATTACATTTAGATATCGTTTTAGTATAGCTTTAAATAAGTTTTTTATTTGTTTCCTTTTGTATATAAGTCACTCTAATTACGTTTGATATTTTACTTGAAGACCTAGAGCACTTTGCGCTGCGCAAAAAGTGATACAAATGGATGTTATGGCTAATTATGTTGTATCCCGCGTTCCTAATTAGACCTTGGATGCCAAATCTTGCTGAAACACATAGGAACGGGTTTGCTGGCCTTGAACTGGCGATAATCTGAAGGAGCTAGGCCCGACAAACAGGCCGCACGAGGAGAAGTTCCCAGTCTAAGAAATATATGACTTCCGTGGTTGTTTTTGCCGAACGTGACCATGCGTTATCGTATGGGACTATCATCTTACGTGGTTTCAGAATTTTTTCGAATTCGTGCATACGAGTAAAAATCGTTTGTTGAGTTATATCAAGTTGTTTGGTTAGTTTCTCTCATATTTGGCACGGATTTTTTTATGTCAGTTGCATCGATCCTTAGACTTACTGTCAGCTGTGACAGCTTCTCTTAATAAGTTGACTGTTAATCTGAAATATCCCGAAAAATCAAAGCAATCTAATTAATGGTGCCGAAATAAAATAAATAAAAGTTTATTCTTTTAAATCTTACTTTATTAACTTAAATCTTTTAAATTTCGTTAACAAATTGACTCTTAAAAAGTTGACCCGAAAAATCAAAGCAATTTAGTTAGTGGCACCGAAATTGCGCAATTAAAGTTTATTCTTTTAAATCTTACTTTAGCAATTTAAATCTTAAATTTTGTTAACCCTTTACGTTATTACAACGAATGGGACTCGTGATGAAGATTTCATCGAAACGAAGTCTAATTCTTCTATTATTAAAATGCAAACATACAAAAATACGTTCTATTAGAAAAATTATAAAAAACGAAAAAGTGCGAATCGACGTAACCGTGGAAGAAATTGTAGTATAAGGTCCAAGTGAAAAATAATTTTTAAAGGTAAATCGTGTCGTGTAAAACAAATTTTTCACGTAAATATAATAGTATTTTATCAATTGAAGTGAAAAAAGATTACTATATTCGATATCCTACTTATCAAATAAGCTTCGTTTAATTATATGATGTTTTTTTACGTTGAAATATTTAGACATAAAATGAAATCGTAACGAATAAATTGTAAGGGTCATAAATAAATTTGTTAAACGCTTATGGAACTTAATTTGACAATAAACTTCTGAAAATTACATTATTTTTTATTTCAGTTTATAGGTCCCAAACTATAAGATATAGAACAAATGAATGTTGAATTATTTGACTGAAAATTAGTGTTCCACCTTCTGTAACGTGAGATTTTCAAAGGTTAACTTTAATTGCAATGATTCAGAGTGTAGTGTGGGCAGCAGGAGAAAATTGCGTAGCTAATATTTACCAATTTGCGCACGAGTCTCCCTTTTACTTTGATTTAAACCGGAAACTTTTTAAATGTACTATGTATAAGTGTAGACGAACACGCTTTCGCGCGAGCATGTCCTAGGTTCTCCAATGGAGACCAGACTTCCCGGTTGAAGAAGGTCAAGGTGTGAGAGTGAACGTACTAAGTACACACTGGCTGTCGAGAGGAGCATGCATTTTCGTGTCTGCTCTGCGCACGTATATGTGTATCATTAGATTATTATCATTTCTGCGGGGAGCATTTCGTAACGGGATCACAGTATGCGTTTGTCTCGGATACGCTAATTAGTTATTTCGAATCAACTGTGGATCCTTTTGACAATCGGATTGATCTGTCGCAACGTCTTTTTGCACAAATCCACACGTGACCGATTTTTCAAACGAATTTTCAACCAGACCTGGGCAAATTTTATTTGGAATGCCAACAAGAAATAACTGTTTGAAATAATTCATTGAAAATCGTCATTTTCAATGCTGTTATTTGAAGATGATAATAAATGAAAATAATTCATTTAAACTAATAGCAATGCCGAATAATAAATTGTTTCCTTATCTTTTATTTCAAATGACGAGGGAAATAATCCTCATAATAATATGCAACAAAACCCGTGATTTCATTATTAATGAAAAATGTTTATTATTTAAATGTCTATTATTTATCAGTTCCCTAGTTCTTGTTACACTTTACAAAATGATAGTTTTTAATTGAACGGACAGTTCAAAAGTTAATCTACTTTGAAATAGACGAGTTAGTTTCTTTATTATTCGTAAGGGGGGTGCAAAACTATAATCATCTTATTATATACATGATTCTGTGATAGATGTTTATTACATTATGATACAGTAACTTTTGCGGTAAATTAGCTGGCTATCGATCGTAAGGAATTCGATCAGACCAGATCGAATCGATAGATTATTTAAATCTCTTTCCTGCGAAGAAATTGCGAGTAGAGATTCTAACAGATAACTAAAATCAAATTTGTTGATAACCATCATTTTGAGATATACTGCGCGTAACAAGGGATATAATAACGATGGGTAAAAAGACTGAACAGATATTCTATCGTAATACCTATTCGCATACATCATATAGCTTCAGGTTAAACTTGGTAATAATTGAATATTTCCAGTGATCTCCAATTACGATAAGAACTACCAACTTATTTGTATAATTGGAAATGTTCTCTACGTTCGTTCTAACGAACCAGATCTTCAGTTCGCGAAGATAAGTGATAATTGGATGTATACGATGAAAATATGATAATGTATCCCCGTTTTAATCGACCCCCAAAGAGAATTTCCATGCATATTATAATTTAATTAAATTATTCACAACTCATTTATTGAAATTTATGTCAACAGAATAAGAACTTAATCAGACTGCTAAGAAGTTCAGTCGGTAGCCCTAATTAATTAAACTTACTATTTCACATATATTTCTGGGCTGCAAAGTTTATGCATTTATGAGTTACAAGAAGAATAAGTGAATGAATAAGTTGCAGAAGAATAAGTTATAACATGTTTTAAACAGCTTATTATCATGGTAATGAAGTTCTTGATACAAAGAATTTTTCTGTTAGAAAAATATGTAGCCTAATTATTATTTAATTATTTAAATTATTTATATAATGGTCGCAAAAATGTCTAATATACTTGTTTCGCAAATTCAATATTTTTGTAGAATTTACGATGCCCCTTAAAAATACAATAATCGAACACGATTACTATCTACTACGAATTTATCATTTAATAGGTCCGTGGTGTGTTGTTCTGTGTACAATCAGATTATATTATTTAATGCTATAATATATTTAATTACAATTTATATTTTTAACAATCAATTAATCTTTCTGAATATTTACTTAAAGTGTTGGCGATACTGAAGTTACTGCAAATAAAAGTTATACTATACCAAGAAGCACATAACTTTGCAAAAGAGAATGTTTTCTTTCAAATTGACTAAAATTTAAATTATTCGGTTTAAAAACCTACTCGCGGTCGATCACCCAGTTCTAGGTCGTGTCGCCTGAGTCGGTGTAAGAACGCTGGCGCGACGATAGTTTTTGTCACGGTGTCGAGCTCAGCTTGACGCCTCGAGCTTGATGCAGGTGAACGATCCGCAATAATATAAACAAAACGGTCGCCTGTTTCTATCATCGCGATGTACTGTCCGTTGCTCAGAAGAAGTCCGTTAAGGAAAGTGTAGGACCAATTCCCGCTAACCCACCCATTCTGACGCCCTAGTAGAAGTTAGGTTAAACGCGTTTCCCTTATTGACAGAAATGATCCCTTCCTATCAGCCCCAACTTCCACGAAATGAGGGACCTGAGCCCGGCCGAATAAAAACAAATAACGTGTCCTGATTTCCGTCACCGCCTCGTTCCCCCGTGGTCGCCATTTTCGGCTAGGAGCACATCAGACACGTGTCCTGTGCTTTGCGTGGATGTGTGCGTGTGTATTATTTATGCGACCGCGGGCGAGCGAGACGCGCGACGGGAGTCAGGAGCAGTAGAACAATGGAGACAAGCATTAACTTCAGATTCTTTCGATGAACACATGATTATTTGTAATTACTAATTACTCATTAGCATCTTGATTTATTTTTCATTGCATTATGCAGCAAACGTGCTGTACTATAGACATATTTTTTATATTTATGTTGTATCATATGATTTTTTTAAACGGTTTTCATACACGTCTTAAATATGTGTCCAATATTTGAGCCGTTTATTTTGAAAGTGGCATAAGTCACTTTGTTTTTAAGTCGATATGTTTAAGGGTTTGCGTTTTAACACGTTTCAAAATATGGATGCTAACTTTCGAGAAGATTTACTTGTATTTGTTATCTCAGGATACTGATATTTTTCTCAATATAAATAATTTCGTATAAACATAAAAAATTACCACTTTTCATTACGGTAAAGTGACTTAAGCCACTTTCAAAATAAATAGTTTAGAAAAATGACTAACATATATTAATTTTGTCCGACGTATTTTACTGAAGTGATGTTTTGAAAGGACAGTGATTGACTAAAATTGTTGAATAAATTACATATATAATAATAATTTATACCATGAACATATTTAATATAAAGATTTGATTTAAGTATTTTTTATTTTAGTATTCATAAAATATTCATTTAATAATATGTATATTATATATAATAATATTATATTATATACAATAATAATATTATATTATATACAATAATAATATATATATTATATATAATAATATTATATATTATATATTATATATACATTCATTTCATTTTGAAACATAAGTATAAATAATTTATATGAAAATACATCAGTTCAATTTAATTTTCATCATTAATAGGAGTGATTAAGTCCTCGGAAATCGTGTTTTGTTTCAAATTTTTAAAATAACTGTGGTATATTGGGGGTATATAATTAAGCAAGTCCATCATGTCTTCGTATTTTGCTGAAGAAACAGGACGAGATCCAGCGTATAACATAATATAATATATAATATATAATATATAATATATTCTTTTACACTAAGCCCCGCGATTAATTTTCTGAGTACAGCGACTTACGCCACTTTCAAAATAAACACGTTTGTTATACCGTTAATTAGCAAAACTTCTCTCCTAACAAATCTCAATAGTTCTCAACTTATTGATTGCAAATTTTTAAAAAATGAAAAGATACCGTTCAATTGTAATTAGTGTTACCATTAACTCGATTTTTTTGAAAAAGTGACTTATGCCACTTTCAAAATAAACGGCTCATTTATGAAGTACAACTGAAAATAATCATGTTTTGCTCGTGCAGTATTATTCTCATGTTCTACTCTCAGTAACCTTGCAATGTATTATTCGAGTATAGGAATTTTATGGATGACTTACGCCAACGTTAACGTTCAACGCTAAGAATCTGAAGGTAATATCGGGAAACGAGAAAATGAAACACTACGCATGAACTAAATGACGCAATGGGCGGGGAGAATCGGTCGCCCGTTCTACCTAGCTTCTTCCAATTTTTTTTTTATTCCCGACTTAGGTGGATTAAGTGGAGCGAGCGACCGATCTTCTTGCTCCTTGCGTCGATTAGCTTCTTGATCTTCTTGTTTACCAATATAAGTGGATTTCGGGAGATTATAAAAGAGAGATCAGGCGGAGCGAGTGGAATCTGAGCAAGGTACTCGTCGCCTGGGCCATCCTTCCAATAATCCCAATATCAGATCTGTTGCCTGTTTTCTATTGTCTCCCGTGCAGCATCGTTCGTTAGGGCATTGCCCTCGTTCACTGTAACGAACGTTCGGGGTGCTATCTAGTCCTTTCAATATTAAAAAATCCCACTCCTTTTCCTTTCCTACTTGATGGCTCATGACGGTATAAATAGGCCCTCAAATCGCGGCCGCCATCGTTACGCTTGTAATAATCTCTGCACACCGTTACGCTTGTAATAATCTCTGCGCTTGCATCTAGTTACGCTTGTAATAATCTGCACACGGTTACGCTTGTAATTCCACCTGCGCTTGCAGCTGCTGTCACACTTTTATTCAAACACGCGAAGTTATTAGATTCATAACAGTACGAGATCACTTGATCACTTTCATTCGCGTCATTATTTATCCATCTTCGGGGTGTTCCATCTGTTACATTTCGTTTGTATTCTTTCCGTATTTATTTAAATATACTTTGTTATTTCGTTATTCATACAGTCCACTCTATCACTCTTTATCGATTCTTTTCATAGCTCGAGTTCCTCAACACACCTCCCTACGAAAGACTAAAATAACCAAAGACGACTAACGTGGAAAATGTTTGAATTCGAATATTAAAACGAGCTCTATATTAACACATTAAAGGCGGGAGTCGTAGTACTACGATTTATCTCGACTTCTCATAAATATGTACTTTAAAACATTTTTTGTAATTAGTGTTTAGTTCTTTTAGTTTTAAGAGTTTAAATAAACTTTTTTAAGTCTAAATTTTTTTATGATTACACAAAATATCGCCCGCTCTAGGACAAAAAACGAGGCGGGGCGGTCGCCGCGTTACCTAGCATACTTTCGTCAAGATCCCTCGCCTTTAATGTGTTAACACTTTTTGTAGAAAATTGCGAACAATACCATTGAGAGCAAAAGAAAACACAGTTGACTTTCTTGTGAGCTCCACACAAGCCTCCACCCACATAAATACTATTAACCCTAATTTGGCTCGACTGAACAATTATGTGCAAGCTGCGAAAGAGAATGTTTTATTTTGAAATTTGGTTTACTGATTTGTGGATGCAACTTTGTTGTTAGTACTGTCGAGAAGGTGGGAGGGAGGGGCATCTCGATCATCGTAAACAAACCAGAATCGACGCACGGGTGAAGCAACTGAGTAATCTAATAATATACTACACAGCATCCGCCGAAAACAGCTCTTGACGAGTTAGACTCGTCAGTCTACAGTGGCACATGAAATGAATGACAAACCTAACTCGTCATTGTATGATCCCACTCCTTTTCCTTTAAAAATATTATAACATCGAATTTGCGAGGTATTTGCTAGCTTGTATTCTAGGAGTTAACATCAAATTATGTGCCTATCGAAAAAGTTATTCAACTGTTAGCTACAGTATCTTGCGATGTTACTAAAAATTTCGCAGGAATTCGAAGTGATTTATTTAAATAGGACATCCTATACATATGTATTGGGTTGGCAATTAAGTAATTGCCGATTTGTTCAATAAAATAAAAAATTTTTTTACTTAGAATGAAGTTTAATCTGTAATGTGTATTTTCCATTTTGTTCGATGACCTTTTGCCATCTCTCTGACAACTTGAAAATTCCACGCTCGTAGAAAGTCTGATCCTTTTCGGCCAAAATCTGAGTTAAGTGAGATTTTACAGCGTCATCATGATTAAAAGTTTTACCACGAAGGGAGTTGTCCAGAGATCGAAATAAGTGGTAATCCAATGGCGCGAGATCAGGGCTATATGGTGGGTGTAACATCAATTCCCAACCAATATCCATCAATTTTTGCCGAGTGGACAAAGACGTGTGCGGCCTAGCATTGTTCTGCTGGAAAATGACACCTTTACGATTGACCAATTCTGGTTGCTTTTCCTTGACCGCTGCATTCGATTTGTCCAGTTGCTAACATTCACGGATAATAAAAAATAACATAATAATAATAATAATAATAATAATTTTATAATATAACATTTA